TATAGGCACAGAGTTAAAATTTTTTAACATTTTCTAATGGTGGTGTGCCTCGTGATTTTTTTCATGAAAAAAGTGTGCCTTTGCACAAAAAAGGTTGAAAAACACTGTCATAGAGGGCTAAAGGTTTTCCATCTCTTGTTCATACCTGTTCACTTTTTGTATGAGTTTTTCTCCAAATATTCCACAGAATGGAATCTATAACATTGCAAATTGCAAAGAAATTGGAAAAAACATTCAGAGGAGCTGGTGCTGGCACACTGGTTAGAATGCAGTATTTCAGATTAACTCTGGCCATAGCCAGGAGTTAGATTCTGACCGACTGTGGGAAGAATTAGTTAGCAATACTGCATTCGGCTCAAGGTTGACTCAGCCTTCCATTGAGGTCGGCAAAATGAGGACCCAGATTATTGGGGGCAATAGGCTGACATTTGTAAACCATTCACAGTATGCTATAAAGCACTATGTAGCAGTATATAAGTCTAAGTGTTGTTGCTATTGCTGTTTCACACATTAAAATATCCTTCTTGGCTGACAGCATTGCTATCCCAAGAGTTTTGGTTTCCTAATGTCCTAATAAATTAACATTTGTGGTCTTATCTTATAGCATATTGGCCTACCCATGTTTTCACCTGATAAGAAGCCAAAACGCATCTACATGATGAGCTGCGGAGTTCTCAATTTGCCTCGAAATCCTCTGTTGGACTGGGCTTTTGGACACTCACTCATTAGTTGTCATGTGGAGCATCACCTCTTCCCATCTTTTTCTGATAACATGTGCCTGAAGGTGTGAGGTTGAATGGCAGATGGAATGGGTGTTTGGAAGAGTAGGGTGGGGCAAAATAAATACCTGCTGAATGTTTACTTGTAAAGAAAAGGGTATGTGATTAAGAGCTGATGAGTTTCATATAGGCCAAAATCTTATCCGTCAACAATAGAAAAAAAATGTTCTTGATCATAAATTAATTTTTATATAGTTCAGGATGCTTTGAGATTGAAAGGAAGCACTGGGCAAAAACTACACATCCTATAGACCTGAAATCATATTTTACAAAGAATAAGTTTCATTTTTGAGAAATATATTTCACATTGGATATTTTAATTCTTCCTTCTATGGATCATATACACAACTACGGTACTTTCATTTTATTTTATAGTACTTTACATCACAAAATTGTTGGTTTCTCTTCAAGAATTCTTCACATTCTCTTAAGGGAGCTAAAAATGACAGGTATCTCAGAGGTTGCTAAAGCACTCTGTCTGTACTGTTTAATTAATACTTATTTCAGTGATATATATGTTGGGAAGCACCCAATCTGGCAAAGAAGGGGGGCTCAAATGTGGAATTAGCCTGGAGTCACTACACACCCATCAAAAGGCTATGATCAATACCCAACCACCAAATTTCTTGCAACTTTATCTATTTTTTCCCAAGAGAAAGCTGCCAGTCGGGAGATTCTCTTTTTGTAGGTAGAACATAATAGTCACCACACTATAAAAAAGATGCTGAGACGCAGAGAAGAGAACCAGGATGATTAGGGGACTAGAGACTAAAACGAAGAACAGTTGCAGGAACTGGGCGTGGCTAGTCTAGGGAAGAGAAGGACCAGTATTTGAGGGGTTGCCACAGAGAGCAGGGGGTCAACCTATTTTCCAAAGCATCTGAAGGCCAGACAAGGAATAATGGATGGAAACTGCTCAAGGAGAGATTCAACTTAGAAATAAGGAGAAATTTTCTGAGTGAGAATAATCAACCCGTGGAACAGAAGTTGCCTTCGGAACTTGTGGGAGCTTCATCACTGGAGGCTTTCAAGAAGAGACTGGACAGCCACTTGTCAGAAAGGATGTAGGGTCTCCTGCTTGGACGGGGGTTGGACTAGATGACCTACAAGATCCCTTCCAACTCTGTCAATCTAATCTAATAATAAAGTGCTATAGTTAGCTTGAACTCTGTATGTGTGGATCTTGTTTGAGCCTAACAGGATTTCTACCATTTTTAGTAACCAGCAATGTTCTTTATATTTGGCTCTGGGCCTATCCTAATAAAAAATAAGCATCAATGTTTACTGTAATACTAACCTTATCTTTCCATTATATTTCAGATAAAACCTGTGGTTTCTCAGTATTTGAAAAAGAAGAAATTACAATACAATGAGGATTCTTACTGGTCCCGCTTGAAGCTATTCCTGGACAAATATGAAGAACTGATGGTCCATGCACCTCCTATTTCTGAACTTGTGGGGATTCAGTAATGGTACTTTTATGGCTAGAGCTAGGACCTTAAGGCAGCATGGTTTCTTTTTCCAAGATCAATACATTTAAAGACTAAGTTATCAAGGGAAAATAACTATGTTATTTATGTCTTCCATATCGGTCAAGCAAAAATGCTGCCCAGTAATGGGTCATAGGGGAAAATCAATAGTTCCAATTAATTCAATTGTATTATCTTTGATTTTCTTCTCTGCTGTAATAATCTTTGCACACTGATATATTTAATGGATTATTTCCATTCTGCTATTCTGCAACTTGAGGGAGGGAAATCTAAGGGCTATTTAATGTTCTTCCTCATAATTAAAATGACTTCCAAGTTAAAAGACATTTGCATAGTACAAACTTTGACAAGTTCGGTGTAGCAATTTCTTTTCCTCATCTTGGGTATTCGACAGCAAAACATAGATCACTGCCACTAACTGATCTAAAATCCACACTGCAGAAAATGCAAGCTATCTTCGCAATATATGCATTTTTAGAGCAGCTCAACTGGTGCCTTCTAGATATGCAGAGACTCCAATTACCAGAATGCCAGCTAGCATGGGAATTTCTGAAATTCTAGTACATCTGGAAAGAACACTGGGAAAGAAACTTATTAGAGGAAGCTTTTCCTAGAGGTTAGAAGAAACATGAAAAAAAACTGGCATTGACTGTTGGACCGATATTTCCATAGCTCTGATTATATGAGAATGTATGTGGTAAAGAAATAGCTCTTGTCAGATGCTTCATAGATTTTCATTTTTTAGCACACTCTCAGCAGATAGCAATCCCTAGACTACTTTGACTGTTCTGGGAAGCTATGAATGGTCAGGTCAAGTCTGTGCTTAGTAGACCTCCATAGACTATCATGTTTGAGGGCCAAACTGGGAAATCAAAAACCACCCTGGAAGACGGCAGCAGTAGCCACTTCTGTACAGTTGCCAACTTCCTACTCCCCATATATGGGATCCGTTATTGCATTGCCAAGAGTTGAGCTTGACCTGAAGGAAACTTTACTAAAATTTCTCCTCTTGCAAGAAGCCCCCCCCAAAAAAAAGCTTCTGTAAACTACGATGCTGAACGGTTGAAGGAAATAGAATTGTCATTACCGGCGGATGTTTTATTAACACAAATGATGCAAAGAAGGATTGTATAAAAGTTCCTGCTGACAAATGTGGTGATATCTATGCAAAGAGAGAATAAATTATTTCCCAATCCACTTTGTGGAGGGAGTGTGGTTTAATAAAAGGAACAACGTAAAAAGCAAGCAGATTAGGCAAGGAAAAGCAGCAAGTAGATATACTTGAAAAAAATATTTTGAAATAAACACTAACTGACCTGATGAGTTGGCATGGCCCCATTTTTTTAGCTAGTCAAAATCAGTCTTTAACTGTTCTCAAAGTAAAAATGTTTACGTTCACACATTTATGATACAACATATAACTATTATATGAAAATTACCTAAACAATCATGTGCAAGGAAACCTACATATTTTGCTCTTGTTTCTACCCAAGGGCCCATTTTCCACCTTCTGGAGACGTGCCCAATGATCACTATTTACTATTTCTGGAATGGAGGTGCATACTGTAGTGTTTTCTCCAGCTTGTTAGCAGTTTCACTTGAGATATATTCCTAACACTGCTGAAATATGTCTATCAGGAAAACATTCTTTTCAAATATGTGTTTGAATTATGTCTTTACATAATTAATTTCTGAAAGATGGTTTGGGAAAATCTGGAATATTACTAAAAACAAAAAGGCTAATTGTGCATCAAAAGAAAAAGTGTGCATCAAGAAGCTAAGCTATGGAGAACAAAGAGAGATCGCTTCACTATTCTGAATATACGAATCTGTGATGGATGCTTAGTGTGTGAATATATGTATCTTTTGAACAGTTCTCATACTGTTCAAGAAAAATATAAGCTTCCTTTAGTTAGGTTTTAACTCCTAGTGGCTTCTTTGTTGGCAACAAAATGGAAGCGATTTTCCAGTAACATTTTGTTGAGCGTTCTTTTTGATTTTTCAGCTTAGCCTACAACCTGCTGTATATCAGAAAAATCCTACCCTAATACTCTACTTGATTGATTAGGGCAGTAGATGGACTTCAATTCCCAGAATTCCCCCAGCCAGCTTGTTGGTTGGGGAATTCTTGAACTTGATTGCCATATGTCTTAAAATTCCTGAAGTTGAGAAACACTGACTAAGGGTAGTACATGAATTCAGTCAGTAAGACAAGTAAATCATGTAAATCTAGCAAGGGTGACTCTAGACAGTTATGGTTTATTGAATAAAACATGCTTAATAAACCTGGTTTAAGTGTGATGTCTGAATCCAGCTATATACCTGAGTGGATAGAAAATGAAAATAAATGATAGCTGATGTGCCCTATTGTTAGTTACAAAGTTGTGTCCAATCGATCGCGATCCCAGGGACGTTCCTCCAGGCCTTCCTGTCCTCTACCATTATCTGGAGTCCATTTAAGCTGACGCCTACTGCTTCGATGACTCCATCCAGCCACCTTATTCTCTGTTGTCCCTTTCTTCTTTGGCCTCAATCTTTCCCAGCATTAGGCTCTTCTCCATTGAGTTCTTCCTTCTCTTTAGATGGTATGCGTTAGATTTGAGTTTCATCTTCAAGATCTGGCCTTCTAAAGAGCAGTCAGGGTTGATCTCCTCTAGGACTGACCGATTTGATCTCCTTGCAGTCCAAGAGACTTCCAGGAGTCTTCTCCAGCACCATAGTTCAAACCGCTATGTCTAGTTCATGACAAATGAAACAACAGGCATTGAAAGTCATCAAAGAAAAGTCTGCCTCTAAACATTCAGATACATTTCTGGAAACCAGCCTGACCTTTAAAAGAACACACAATTAGTTTTTTTTAATTGACACCTTCCATTTGATAGGGACAGAGTGAAATTAAGGCTTTATCATTTCAGATTGGAAGTGAACATCACATAGAGAATAATCCTGAGTTGGCAGAGCATGGTTAGGTGATTTAATAGCCAATCCATCTACATTTACTAATTTAATTATCAACATGATTATCAACATGAATATTTTCTGTGATAGCTCTAAAGACTTCCCAATCTAGCAGCACAAAGATTAAAAAGGGGGAACATTCAACACAGCTTTACTCTGATTTTGTTTGTGAATTAATTCCACCCCTACATGCTGCTAACATAATTACTGTTCAGTTTGGAAATGAGAAGTTTGACCAGCTCTATCCTGTCTAGAATAAAGCATAACTATGGGTGTATTTAGTCAACCTAGCTAGAAGCAAATACCTTTAGGGCCAATGGGCTTATTCATAGCTAAATAATTATAGTATTTCGCTCTTAACAAATACTGAAACTGAATAAAGTGTAATCTGTGGCTGGGTTGAGATGTCACGCTAAGCCAAATGGGATTTATTTGAAGCCAGCTGTGTATTATGTAATAAATCACAGCAAAACATATGGAGTCTTAACTAGGACTTCTATATAGAGCTGCAAAAATCTAGATTGCCACAAGATAGTAGCAAAGAGATTTAGAAAACTCAATTCTTTCTGCCATTTAGTTGCTTGTATTTTTGCAGTCCATATATGCTAGTTTAGCATAATAGATAAATCCACTGACATAGATATGTATTTGTCACACTATTCTATGCTCTATGTAATGCTTCAACAGCAACATTATGCAGAACACAAAAGGGTTGGAAAAACTAATCAAAGAAATTAATAGTATGAGATAAAGGGGGAAAATAGATAAAACTATTTTACATCAGTACCTTTCAATATATTTTTTTCCATATCTTTTTGAAAATAATCTTTGGGTCTAAACACTGCTTTACACATTGCTTTTTTTCTTTAAATTTATCTTGTTCAAATTGTCATTAATTTCCCCATGGCACTTCCCTTTCCTCTCAATCTTTCACTCTTCATATAATTGTTGCACAGTCTCCTCCACCCTCTTCATGATCAAGCCATCTCAAAGTATTTATTTCATGCTGATCTCTTACTTTTGTATTTATTTAACTTTCATTTACAATCATTCAGCACACATTCATATTTTTTTTTGAGAAACCCAACTCTAATTCCCAATGTAACAAGTTGGCAGAAGACTACTCTTATATACAGCCATTTTTGCTTTCTTTTTTTTCATAAACATTCCTTTTGCACAATAGGAACTTTACCAATTCCTTCTTTCAGTAGTTCCATGTCCTAAAATTTCTCTGTCCAATTTCTTACTTTTATTAAATATATTGCAAAGACATAAACACTTATTTACTTGCTCTAGTTTTGTTATGCCATTTATTATTTAAAAATGACTAAAGATCTGCACAAAGTCATAAGGGAAAAGGCACTTTTTTCAAATAGCCTCTTTCCTTTCTAGGGCCTTGTGAGCGGGCATTGAATGCTGGTCTGAAACAGGACAAAATTTGATTACCTTATTACAAGACAGTAGTAATTAAAGGTAGTCAGTCAAAGGCTTCTTATCAGTAACATTATCTCAACATTCCAAACACTTTTCAAAGGCAATTTATCCACAAACTGTGTGTTACTGAAAGCCAAGTGGTTGTAATTCTGTACTAAAATGGCTAGCACTTCAGGGACAGCCTAGCTGAGGCAGGAACTTTAATTATATAAATACATTCCTCTGCTATGGAAATGCTCGAGTGCAGAAATGTACTCAATTCCTGGATCTGATTTTTCAAAGAGTGTACAATCCTATTTGATAAGAGGCCAAATCCTTTTGCCTGAACAACAGCAACTGCTGCTAAAGCAGAGAGGCTAATTTTACGATTGCTCAAGTGGACATTCATAGAAGTCCTCCCTTGAAGATCATATTGTTTAACACCACAAGGTCAAGGTTTTTGGGGCAAGGCCAACACTTGGGGACACAATGCCCTATATTGAGCATGAACCCTCACATATAAAGAACACACAAGGAGGACTTCAGGGAACTGGACTGTGGGGAAATGAAGGCAGATGCAATATTTCCTTCTCTAGTATATAGTCTATTGCCACAGAATATATCAGCAATCAATTCATATGTTAAAAGAGGATTATGTAGCATTGAATAAAGCTATTGATGTCAGCTATTCCTTCAGGAAGGAATCAAAGGAGGAAAAAAAAAAAGCATACAGCAATGTTTCTCAACCTTAGCCATTTTAAGAGGTGTGGACTTCAACTCCCAGAATTCTCCAGCCAGTGATGCTTGGCAACTGGCATGTATTTATGATGTTGCACTGTCCTGGGGTCATGTGATCAATATTTGTAACTTTCCCAGCTGGCTTCTGACAAGCAAAGTCAATGGGGGAAGCCAGATTTGCTTAATGGCCAAATGATTCATTTAACGACTGAGGCAAGAAAGGTGATAAAATGGGGCAAAACTCATTTAACAACTATCTTGCGTAACAATGGTAATTTTGTGCTCCATTGAGGTCTTATGAGGACTACATGCAATTTAAATTAGTGCTAAAAAGATCAGCAGTTATTTGGTGAAGCCAACATCTGTTTAGCCTGCAGGATTGCCACAATATTGCTGCAACAAGAGTTTCAAGGTGGTTTAGGAAGCAGATTGCTTTGCTACTTATGCATATAATGAAGCAATGATCTAACAGCCGCTTTAAAATACAAAATCTCTGCCAACTTTTTATTCCTATGAATTTTGAAGGGAAATGTAATTATAACCAGCTTCTTAACATTGGCAACTATTATAATCAGCCTGCATCTATCACATATATTAATACTGTCAATTTGGTGCCCAATGAAAACAAGTATATGCACAAATCACCTTAAAATGTCAGTTGAAATCCAAGTTTAATCATACAAGATATTTGTGGTTTGCAACACAAAACAGACTGTTTTTAAATAAAAGTCTTCAATTTTCCCAGCTACTTAATTAAACAGAAAACTGACAATGTCAGGGCACCACAAACTGTGGTTCATTTTTCATTATTCCTATGGAAGTTATAAATAATCATAATTCTGCAGATCAAAGACCACCAGATGAAATGCGATGTGGCAACTGTGTGATATATTTTAAAAAGAGAGTTTATGTAGCCTTGCTTTATTTTTCCATGGATGGCTTATCTAATGAACCTTTTAGGAAGATATTTTTGGCTTCAAGGCCTGAAATAGCTTTTTAAAAAAGGCATAGTCTGGAAACAAGAATAGTTCTGAGATGGGTATAATATACCCATCCTTCAATGAATGAGTCTTCACCAAACCAAGGTGCCTCAGAAATCTTCAACTACAACTCCCTGAAACATGGCTGTAAAGGAATGATTGGAACTGCAATTTCATAACCCGCATAGGGCATCAAGCATGTAAAGGTTGATATAACAGATGATTGCCAGA